TGGTGCACACTGCGAAGTGCTGGAATTTTCACTGGCAAGCGCTGGTGAATACTGGAGCACGCTCTGTTTCTACCAGCGCAGCTGCAGCGTGCATGTTATTGTAGCGTGTGCCATGGTTTGTTTCGGTGTCGTTCAATATAAAACGCTTGATTTGACGGCAGGGAGAGATGCTACCCTAACAGATACCGAGCATACGTAAGCGGTCTTACCCAGTGCCTTGGCCCAGCGAGCATTAAACCTGTCATGCCAGCCGCGTTGGTATATATGTCACTGGCGCTTCTTGCTTCTTGTACACACGGCTTTAAAGAGTAAGAATAACTGTAAAGTACAGTGTACACATCTATGAACCTCAATCACCTATTTTGTCTTGTGTCGATGTTCGCACAAGGAGCGCTGACGATCAAACGTCGCGCTTTTAGCTACGCAGGCTGTCACCGAAAGCTGCCGGCCGCACTTAACCGGTACCTGTACTACTGATACGTAACAACACGCAATTTTCAGTTGGTAATTTAGTACGCCTTCTTGAACTGACTCCCTGGCATGCGTTTTCAGCAAATTGCGTTGGTATTTCTATGGGTGTTTTTTATTGGTCGGTATTGATATAACTGCCTATATCTGTACACTGGCACGCCAACTGTTTACTGCCAGAGGAGGCCAGAAAAACGGCTGTCGCTCGCCATCGCCAATCCGTAAATGCATATATGGCATTGATTGACCTTCCACTTAATTCAGGTACAGTTTAGGTAACAGAAATATTGCGAAGCTCAAATGCAGAAACTTCAAGCATCGAAACTCAGCTGCTTCACAAGCAGCCTTACCCAGTTCCCCGTCCTAGCGAGGCCTATCGTGCCGCCCGCGTCCGTGTACCTGCTGCCGGCGCTTTTTACTTTGTGTAGGCACAATTCTAAAGTGTAAGAATGACTGTAAAGTATAGTTTGGACATCTCTAAGCCTAAACTGACCATTTATTCTCATGTTTGGTGCCCGCACAAGGAGCGGCGACGATCGATCGAGTACGGCCTTGGTTGTGGCTAAATTTTTTTATTAAAGGACAGAGTGCTGCAGCACAGAGTAAGAAATCGTTTCGAATGACACTGCTCTGTTTCACCTTAAACTGGAAGGACTGTTTGCGGTTAGCAACAAGGAAAATTTCTCCTTGTTATTACCTGCAAAGTAAGCTGGCGGTGTTTGAACTGTGCATACTGTTCCACTGACTTATTCTCTTTTTGAACGAAGTGGAACATCGGTCATCTATTATAATGTTAATCGGTATACGAATGAAGGTGTAATCGCAGGCTCACGAAATAGAGTCACATGCCTTGGCTTTACATGCCTTGGCTCTAGCACTTTCAGCAACGTAGGCTGTCACCGAAAGCTTCATTCTGAGCGCAGGAGCCGGTACTTCTCTGACTCGTACGTAAGAACACGCAATTTTGAGTTGGCAATTCGGTACGCCTTGGTAAACTAACATACTGGCATACTTTTTCAGCGAACAGCATTAGTCATGTCTTGGGCGGTTCTTTAGTTGCAGGTATCGATATAACTGCAAATATGTAATCTGGCACGCCAGATGTGTACTGCTACATCGTCGGGCGCTAAAGGAATACTCAATATTCACTCGTGTGTGTCGATATCTACCAAACAAGACATGTAAATTATCTGTACTTGTAGACCAGAAGCAAGTGCTAGAAACGACTATCAAAGGAAAAAAAAGACTATCGGCAGCAACAGCTGACAATCTGTGTTGCTCCTCCAGTCACTTTAAGATTTTTCAAAGTGAAGATGTATATTATTTTAAAAAACTTTGCGCTCGTGCTAATATCTGCTCTTTATTCGGTGCCCGGAAGCCGTTGGTCACTGTCGAATCACGACGCAATTGTTATTTGGAAACACAGTTCGGAGGCAACAGCCATAACCACTAGGCCATGCAGCCACGATTGTTATTTGGAAAAGAATATCGTGTCAGTCTTGACTGTGCGACTTGTTAACATGAAGTTGAACGGCGCGTTCTTTGGATAAATAGTCGTTTTACAATCGATAAGCACAATCTGGCGTGGCGTAGTGGGTAGCGTACTCGGAATGAGGTCATAAGGTAGCAGGTTCAAATACGTTCGAACAGTGTTTTCTTTTTTTAATTTTTATTTTTTTGTTTCTTCATGAATGCGCGTTATTTTACTTATATATTTATTTATTCATGGCTAATGGGCGCCCCGGTTTTATCCCTGGGAAGCCCTTTCGCGCATAGTACTGGGACGCTGCCGCTCTAGCGTCCCAGTACCCACTAGCGCTATAGTGGGCCCATATTCACGCATGACACTGGATGCTGGTACCCAGTGGCACTGATTTTTGCAATAGGGGTGTGCAGCTACAAGTAAAACCAGGCCATTTAGAGACGCTGTAGCAAGCCAGTGAGCCGATTGAGTTAGCGAAATTCTTACATGACTGATGATCCAAAGAAACCAAGCTTTTGATAGGATTCGTGGTACGAGGGTCCAAAATATCAGTAGAAGACGTGATTGCTTGTTAGGCAATAATAGTGCACAGACAAGGCATCTGAAATAATAATAACTTTTCATTGTTGAGAATTGAATTTCTAACAGCGAATGCAATTGCCAAGAATTCCATGAGAAAAATTGAAGTGAAATGCGGCAGTTGGAGTGTAAAAGATCGTTTAAGCTGACAAGAAAAGAAAAAGCCACTCCGACGTTCTGAAGATTTTGCGTTGCGTTCGTAAAAACTACCATGTGAGTAAGATAATATCCGAGATTATTTTGAATCAGGCCCACTAGATTACGTTTGGGATGTAATGAAGCATTTTGGGAAAAACATTATGTTAGCCCACTCTCGTCTTTCTTGATATTTTCCAACCTAATAGTTTTATTTGGCTCTGCCCCACTCAGTTTTTTTTCCTGATTGGTGTTGCCTGCTACATTCTTATCCTGTGGGTTTAGGGTTTATTCTTTTGCACAAAATAATGAATGTGTTTACCAGTGCTTTCTTTTCGTGTATACCTGTGCTTTCTGTGTGTTGTCCGTTGTAACCACTATAAGATATGATGAAGACGATGACGCTAATGATGATGAAGAATTAGCTCGTTTGCACATGCACAACACATGAAAAGTGCCCACTTACATTATGACGATGGTGATAAAAACCATGGAACATTCTTTTTCAGCCATTAATGAAAACGAACGTAAGGTGCGAGAAGCAGTGAAAAAACGACAAGTACGCCAAGGGGAATCAACGTTGATGGTGCGGAAAGCGGTGGCTCAACGAAATCTCTGACAAGAAGCTGCTACCTCGAACGCGAGAGTGTTGACAGTTGCTTGTTCGCGCTCGTTTTATGTGCACTTTAAGAGTCAATATTTCCAGCCGACGTTTGTGTGAAGTCTCACTTTCTGCTGTCGCATTCATCGCGACGTCATTTATGTGTAAAGTGACATTAAAGGTAAATGACAATTTACAGGCCAAATATACCACACGATGTGCGCCACAAGTGGCACATTTGCAAAATTAACCCAATCACGTGAGAACGTCCGGCTACAATTCTTCACTAGTAATCAAAGTATCTGTAAATGAAAAAGTTGTATGCGCAGAAAGAGACGTAATAATATGTTACTTCTCAGCTTCTGTTTGTTTTGCAGAAAGTTGAGTCACCTGGCGTTCTTATGGGCAATGGCGCGAATAGTTCAAGGGTGCACTTTTCAGCTGGTGAGGCCGAACAGGTGGTGCAATCTGGTGAAGGCAACATGAACTAAGCAAACAGATTTCTTGCCTCCGAGGTAACAGAAAGTTGTTCAATGGCTGTGGTTGCTGCTGTGGCTCCCGCTACAGTCGCTCTGCTGCTACTGGTGTTGGCGGTCGCATTTTGGCACTTCTTTGGCACAAATGTTGCACTACAAGGTTTATAGATGGCTATTTCATCAATCAACGTCGACGTAATCTTTGCCTTCAGCGTTCAATAGAGAATCACTTTATTTTGCAAAAAATCTTGTTCGTATAATAAAACAATCTACTGCATTTAATTGGCTTTCATTGATCGAATTCGTAACAATGTTGAAAGTTCGAAAATTGCACGCGGAGAGTTTTCTAAGTTGTCTGTCGTGCTACTAAGTGAAAAAATACAGGAAAGGGAGTTTTTTATTACTCAAACCTTGGTTGTGGCTAAATGTTTTTATTAAAGGACGGAGTGTTGCAGCACAGAGTGAGAAATCGTTTCGAATGACACTGCTCTGTTTCACCTTAAGCTGGAAGGACTGTTTGCGGTTAGCAAAAAGAAAAATTTCTTCTTGTTGTTACCTGCAATGTAAGCTGGCGGTGTTTGAACTGTGCATACTGTTCCACTGACTTATTCTCTTTTTGAACGGAGTGGAACATCGGTCATCTATTATAATGTTATTCGGTATACGAATGAAGGTGTAATCGCAGGTTCACGAAATAGAGTCACATGCCTTGGCTTTACATGGTATACGTATGCCAGACATAGTATAATGAAATTCCGCCACATTTATTATTAAAAAGACATATATTCTGGCTGTAGCCTAAAGGAAAGAAAACACGGATATCCTGGTGCTATATTTGGCACATAGCAGCAAAGCGGTTGTCCTATACAGGTGAAGATCCCTGCCTATTGTTCCAATTTTTATCTTCCTTTTTACATAAGCAGGACCAGTCCTGCTGAACAGTAAATAACTGTGACAGCACAGAGCACTTTTCCTACTAAGTAAACCGTAGCGTATAGAAAACTAATTTTACGACGTAATGGTACGCTTTCTACAGCCAGCCAGTTTAAGAGTGAAGGCACTATACTTACAATGTTCTACAAGGGCACCGAACACGCTAAAGCAGCGAATGTTAGCTATCTGAAAAAATCACCTAATATCCAGGGAATATGAAATAACATGAATGAATAATAATTTGCTTATTCTCTAAATTAAACGCTATGAGTTTCTTTTTAAATCTAAGCGTTTTGCAGTGAATTTAGTTAGTGTAGCAACTCACCGTTCTTCTTTGTAGTATCAGACGCGTACATGTCCAGGAAAGTAGCAGCCACCATCAGCACTAGAAGGGTCGCCAGGATAGCCCTGTGAAGAAAATGGCGCGAGGCCGGCTTCTAGCAATGTCAATGACTACACGTAGTTATTGAGGATGCATAGCGCTACCACTATTACTTAACGCCACTCCGCCCAATTTACCTTCTAAGCGGGTGTCTTGCAAGGCCATTTGGTACCTTAATATTTTTAAACCAAGCTACCGTGAGGGACGCTGGCAACATTCCGAATGAGGCACTACTGTCACACAGGAAGTGCGAGTGGTGACATGCCTGTAGTGAGGCTTCAACCCTTTCAAGTTAGATGGTCTCTGTTCAGTCAACTCTGTTATTGCCGCAAGAACTCCTAGCAACAGTTTCGACCTATTTCTTTCCATAATTTAGAAAGGCAACCAACTTGTCTCATCACTCAAGGATACTTACCATACGGAGATGAAGCAAAAATGATTAGGAATCATAAATGCCTACCATACTTTACACCTAAAATTAATAATTATATTATGCCAAGCTTCACGCTTTAGGGCTGTTGTAATAAATACCTAATTACTCTCAATAAGCGGCGTTCATTGTTTTCCATAATCAAGAACGTGAAAGTAATGTTATTCCGCTAGAATTCCTAAAGTAATCTTAAATTGGAGCAGATTATGAAGTTACTTTTTTCAGAATCTAACTGGAGCATTATTTACATTTGCACTCGCATGTTGCATTACCTGCGAAGAAAGATGGAGTGTGCATACAAGTTTCATTTAAATCGTGGGGTTCATTTTTCCAGCCAACCCTGCCTTCACAGTACTGCACTTTTTTTCGTTCAGATATTTATTCACATTTACGTCCTAAAATAAGAACCCAACCGTACCTATTTCGTTAGACTGCATCAAACCTTTCAGGGAATACCTACAGCAGACACCTCGCATCCCTTTAAACTACCGAGCATCAATCTCTTAGAATACTTACCAGCAGTACATATCCCCGAGCAGCAACAACAGCACGCTCTCATTCCAGAAAACACCTAAAAGTCTATAGCACCTTTAGGTACAAGGTAGGCGTAATACTATTCCAACGAGTCAACAAGGAGCTCCCTCCGTTAATCATCTTTTAGGTTAACCTAGCGAATACTCACTGGCAAGATTTGCTCAAGATCGCTTTTTTATTTTACTTTCAATTCATGGAAACAAGAGAAAACAAGCAGACTGTTTCTGGTCGTGCCTCCTCTGGAATACTATACCCCCGCCAATGACAACATCTCCGCCCATTGGCGAGTTCCTTAAAAAAATCTCCAGGCTTTATGCACATCGCTTCATATTTCACCTAATAGATGTGGCTTTTTTACCCCCGTTCCCTTTTATTCTTGCTCGAAACCTTTTGTTAGCGAAGCATCGTATGATCCTACAATTCTGAAGTCTTTATGCAAGAATACGCCACATTGGCCTTGCGCATTACATCGAGGGGGGGGGTCAAAACGTATATACAATTATTAAAAATTATCCTTCACTTGCACAACTTACTTGTTCTTTAGAAGGCTTGTTCTATTCTGTTACGCACTTCGGGAAAAAGGAAGTAGCGAACATGCCTGTCTTCGGCTTGCATTAAAAGGTTTTAAGCTTGTGATCGTTCCTTTTAGAATGATAAAGAGTACTCTTTAAGTAAGTGTTTTGGTAATACCAAACTTGTCGTGAAATTTCTGAATAAACAATTTCAGCCTAATCTTTGGTCGATGTGAGGATAACAACTCCCAATTAAATTCTCGTTTCACTGCTGTGACACTGCTTGGCGAAACGTACCCAGGACATATCGGGCGTTCTGTTTTTGAATACATTGTACCACAGAAAAGACATTTGCTTTCGATTAATCCTATAACAGGAAGAATGTTCTGATTCCAATCTTACAAATGCAATGAATGCCTTCCGCTTTAGTTTCATCTCGCCACATCTCAACTTTCATTGAGCAAAGTTCAACGCCCTTCCAGCTTTACAACTGTCTCATTGATATGCATAGTCCACGAAGAATCAACATACAACGCGACGCATAAGTTTAGATACTTCAACTGTGGGAGCCATTTTGTTATAAATACGATCACTATTCATCCATTCTGTCGCTTTTTAGTTAAACACAAATAAATGTACTTTTAGCGTTGAAACACACGTTTCTGTATTCTACTGATGTCTCTATGAAGTACTGTCGCGTCCTTATTTCAAGATATTTTATGGTACACCAAGCAGTCATAAGGCAATCATCATAAAGACGTTGTAATACCAGAATTTAAACGGTTAATATTGATAAAAATAATATGGGTCCTGAAACAGAGCCCGGTTTGACTCCACAGGCGATCTTCACTTATCTCAATTTTCGACAGCTAACAAAACATATTCTGCGCTCCGACAAAAACTTTAAAGTTTATTTGACGTCATTACTATGTAAACCTAGCTGCTGAAATTTGTCAATAAGAAGCGAGTGGGTAACCATGTCAAAGGCTTTTCGAAAATATAAAAGGAAGCAATCTGTCCGGCCTTCAAAATCTATTTCCCAATCTATGTTATGAAAAATTCTGCAAGTTGTGTAGTGCAGTAGAAGTCTTTACAAAAACCATGTGGTCCTCTGAATAAAATTTTGATCTTTGCGACATCATTATTATTAGCTGTGTAAATAATATGTTCCTTTAACTTGCATAACTTACATGTCGAAGAAACGGTCCAGGTATTTCGGACATCTCTTCTGAAACCACGACTTGCTCGAGAGTGTGCAGTTTCTTTTAATCGTGAGGCAGGATACTCGCACGTGCGGACCGCTTAACATAACAAAAAGAAAGGGGCAGACGGGTGCAGTACAACGCTTAAGCACGCTAGGCGAGATGATCTCAGACCAGCTGCTTTGGCTTTGTCTATCAGGTGCAACATTTTGATACCGGGAACTTATTTCCACCTATGCCATGAGTAGCACAATGCTAACAGAGGACCTTAAAATGTCCAATTACAGTGGAACAAATCCCCAATGAAAGAACTCAATTAACTGCGTTTCTTTAGACTCGTCATCTGTAATTTTTTGTGCATTTCATACAGCTTCTGAAAGACCGCTATCATTTTATCTATACTCTGCTAATTAAAAAAAAGCTTAGGATTGGTTTGAAGCCTTTCGTAGAGTCCTTTGAAATAGTTTTCTTTGGAGATATTACTAGTACCATTATATTCGCGTGTTATTTGTGCCAACCTCTCATAATGACCCTTATTTATACTTTTTATATTGCGCGCTATTAAGGCATCTCTTTTGCGTGATCCGTATAAAGGCTGATGTAACTCACGACTACACTCATTATTTACGATGAATAAGTCACTTATGACTTCTTGTTTCCCTTTTTTCATTTATTCTTAACATTTTTCATCCCGTAATCATCTGAAAACAGCTCAGGCCTGCGGAATTGCCTTTATTTTTATCCTGCCTAGTTACAATAATAACATCTTGTTTTTTATAAGCCAAAACCACGATATGGCTATCAGAGACTCCAGACTGTAGGGCTCCGAAACTTTTGGCCATCTGATGTTCTTTCAGGAGCATGGACATTGTACAATACAAGGGCCTTCACTGTTTCCCCTCGTAGAAATGCGACTGCCACGGCTGGGATGGAACCCGGGACGTTTAGTCTGTAGCCGTACACCTTTCCCGTTTAGGCAGACTATCCTGCCTAACGTTGGGTTTGCTTTCTCTCTTTGGTGCTTTTGCTGCTCTTTTTACAGCAAAAGCTGTTATGAGATCACAACTCTGGTCACGTGCAGCTCTCCACCGCCACTGGTGTTCGTAACCACATCGCGTTAAATTTACAAAAAACCTAGCACCAAAAACGCAGTGGGGCTCAAAACCCGGGTTTGCTGGGTACCTGCCCAGTATTCTGCCACTGGCCTTACAAAAATGTCATATATGGCACTTATATAGGTTATATGTGGCCCCACATAAGCATATATGTCATCATATGAGGCCACATGTAAGCATATATGTCGGCAAATGTGGCTTCCATTTACCATTTATGGATGTATATCTGGCAGTGTCTCTTCATGTATGGGTTATATACAGCCATATATGACGCGATTGGCCCATATAAGAAGTAAAATCCGGCCCTACAAGACATGGCCACACCATATGTAACATATCAAGTGGACCTTTAAATGTAGAAGTGCTCCCTTATATGGGATGAACCACGTATATATTAAGCACCATGATCACACACTTTTATGCAGATTGTAATATATAATAGTTGGTACACAAAGGTGACCTGCTCATTTTTACAGCAACAAGAGTATTAATTAAATATGTTGTTTCCATCATAAAAGGAAAATTTCAGGTCAGCTTTGTGTATGTGATAGTTGAAACTATGCATGCATTTGTGTAATATAGTTTGTAAAATTTCCATAGCATTTAGGTTTGAAACATTGAGTTGCAATTATTACAACGTGAATATTGTATACGAGAACAGACATGTTTTACAAGGAAAGAATCCTGTCAGGTCGCAAAACGAATCGAAGCTCCCAAACCTCACTAATCATTTAGAGCAATACTATATAGTAATATGTGAAAGCGAAGTGCATGCAACCTATATTGTTTACATTAGTGCATTGTTTGGAGTGGCAGCAAGAAATTGTAATTTTAATGCATTTTTTGCTTTAACATCGGTGGACGAAATTGCTGATTATTTGAAGGTTTTGATGGCTATATACTCCCTTCATAAAACTGGGTTTCAGTTAATCCTGTTGACCACTCAACTGCGATGGCTTTCAGAAACCATTTACAATAGTTGCATGCGCAGTGCAATGTTTAAGGGAGTATCTTCAAAAACAAAAAAGACAGACGTGAACACAACTTGCAGGCACTATTATGATTAAATTCAAGATGAAGGTTGTACTAAATTATTGCAAAAAATACATATTGCGTTCCCTTTGGCTACGTATAGTGTTCTTGGTTGTGCACATGGCGAATTTATCGGAAATTTTATGATTGTACTAGTAAACAATTATTTTTGTAATGTTTGCAAGCGTCAAATAAATCTCA